ACGTTAGAGAATATAGGTTTTAAGTAGTCTTTACTTTTTAGAGACTAGGTGTTTGAGACTTTAGACCCAGTTGGGAATTATAGGATAACTATTTTTGATAGCTTATCAACTACTTACTATTGCAATAACAAAATACACACATCACGTGAACGTAAGTATGTTAATAGTGGCTTAACTATTAAATAGTGACCAAAGCACAAACAATTACATATACAACCATTTTTATACCCTTACAGACGGTGTAATGACGTTGGGAGACTTTTCCGACCCCATAAAGAAAATATATACTCAGCATCAGTCGATCCAGCCATGTCCGTCCGTCTTCAAACTAATCTGTCAGTTTTAAAACTATCGGGATGAAAACTTTCCATTATTTCTATAGATCTGTTTATTTATTTTTTATTTAACAAATTAATAAATAATAAATGTTAAACTTAATACTATATTTCCGAGCACTGGCTGCAGAGGCCTTCGACTTCTATAGATATAAACTTCTGAAGTATACTACATTGTATAAAAATCCTATTAGTGCCTATAATAGTGTCACTTTAACAAAAACCGTGGATACTTCGGTACTGATAAGTACGAAGTACGGTTGAAGTACGCGCCGATTGAAGTACACGCCGATGCAGAGTGCGCTGTAAGATTTTAAAGAATAATATCTAACATTTCCTTAAAAATTGAAATAATAGTTATACCCGTTACTCGTAGAGTAAATGGGTATACTAGAATCGTCGGAAAGTATGTAGCAGGCAGGAGGAAGCGTTTCCGACCCCATAAAGTATATATATTCTTGATCAGGATCACTAGCCGAGTCGATCTAGCCATGTCCGTCTGTCCGTCTGTCTGTCCGTCCGGATGAACGCTGAGATCTCGGAAACTTTAGGAGCTAGGCTATTGAGATTTGGCATGCAGATTCCTGAGCTTCTTACGCAGCGCAAGTTTGTTTCAGCAGCGTGCCATGCCCGCAAGGGAGCTTTAGTCGAGTACCTCATCTATCAGATACCCGTTACTCAGCTAAAGGGACCAAAGGGAAATGGAGATATGCAAGCAGCAAAGCGAGATTGAAATGCGCCACCTACCCGCGATCTCAATATATGGTTATGTGGGCGGTAGACAGATTTAAGCGTTATGGGCATTAGAGTGGCCGTGGTAATCTTTTTTTGGGATCAATCGATAGGTATTGACGAGACTAATACATTTCAGTTAAAATTTTGTATCTAGCAAACAAATTGTGGGCGCCACAGGCTTAGGCGGCTTGTGGGCGTTAGAGTGGGCGTGGCAAACTTTTTGTGGATCATTGGGTAGGTATTGACAAGACTAATGCATTTCAGTTAAAATATGTTATCTAGCATACAAATTGTGGGCACCACAGATTTGGGCGGTTTGTGGGCGTTAAAGTGGGCGAGGCATATTCGCGTAACAAACTTGCACTGCGTACAAGGCTACGGAATCTAGATCTGAAATCCCAATTCTCTAACTATTATAGTTCCCGAGATATCCGCGTTCATATTTACGATTTGTTTAAGTTTGTGGGCTGTACGAGTAACGGGTATACAAATTATATGTTTGGTGTTTTTTAACATATAACCTCCTACGCTCGGACGACTATATCATATAGCTGCCATAGGAACGATCGGAAAACTGGTGTGAAAATAATATGAAACAAATTATAGCTTCAGTGTTTTTTGACATATTATCTTATACTATTAGGAATATCATTATTTGTATTTTTATGAATTTCGAACTAAATTTAATAATTATAACTGCAAGGTATACAAACTTCGGTATGCCGAAGCTAACTTCCTTTCTTGTTTTTCTTTAAAGTTATTTTTCGTTATAAAAACATAATTTAATAATTTAACTAATAAAATTTAACCGTTTTAAGAACGCAGATTTGGTAATAAAACAAGGAAGAACGCTATAGTCGAGTACCTCGACTATCAGATACCCGTTACTCAAAGGGAAATGGAGATATGCAAGCAGCAAAGCGAGATTAAAATGCGCCACCTACCGGCGGTAGACAGATTTAAGCGTTATGGGCGTTAGAGTGGGCGTGGCAAATTTATTTTTGGATCAATCGATAGGTATTGACGACACCAATACATTTCAGTTAAAATTTTTTATCTAGCATGCAAATTGCGGGCGTCACAGGTTTTCGCGGTTTGTGGGCGTTTAAGTGGGCGTGGCAACTTTTTTTTTAGGTCGATCGATAGGTATTGATGAGAACAATACATTTCAGTTAAAATTTTCTATCTAGCATCAAAACTGTAGGAGTTACAGTTTTGGGCGGTTTGTGGGCGTTAGAGTGGGCGTGGCAGTCTACTGAAACAAACTTGCGCTGCGTAAGAAGCTCAGGAATCTGTACGCCAAATCTCAATAGCCTAGCTCTCATAGTTTCCGAGATCTCAGCGTTCATCCGGACAGACAGACGGACAGACGGACAGACGGTCAGACGGACAGACGGACAGACGGACAGACGGACAGACGGACAGACGGACATGGCTAGATCGACTCGGCTAGTGATCCTGATCAATAATATATATACTTTATGGGGTCGGAAACGCTTCCTTCTGCCTGTTACATACTTTCCGACGAATCTAGTATACCCTTTTACTCTACGAGTAACGGGTATAAAAATTTGGCCAGTGGCAATTAGGAAACAAAATAAAAGAACATTTTTCGTAAAATAAGCATGTATTTATATAAGATTTTGGGTTTTTTTCCTAAACAAAAGGATTTTTCTGTCTTTTAAGGTAACTGCCTGGTAAAAAAGAAATAAGTGTTTAAAATCAATGAACATTTATTTTAAACTATAGTGCCTTTTTTCGGTTTTGGTAAATTGCCTTTAAAGTAAGAAATAAGTATTATAAGTTAACGGACATTTTTCTTGAAATTTTGGTGTTTTTTTGTGTCGCAACTTGTTTAATTTGCTGATTCGAATCATAATAACTTAAAATACTCATTGAATTGAATCAGGAAAATGAATATAAAAATCAAAGAACTTACTTTTATGGAAAATCTTATTGGGCGCTTGGTTTAAAAATTAAATTCTAACAAGAGAGAACGCTATAGTCAATGCCATCGGCTATCAGATACCCGTTACTCAGCGAGGGAGATGGAGAGTTGTATGGGCAATGTTACCCCTGCCATCCGCTAGGTGGCGCAGTCCGCTAAGTGTCGCTTCAATTGCTACAACTTTATTTTAAAATTATTCAAGAGACTAAGCGTTGTTTCTTGCTTTAAAGTCTGTTAGCTAAGTAATAGGTATCAGATAAAAGAGGCACTCTGTAGCTCTCTCTCTGGTTTTACCCTTGCAGTTGCTCTAATGATATCAGTCAAGACATTTCCGAACCTAACGGGTATAACAATAGTGTTACTAACATTGACTATTTCCCATAACTACAAGGGTATATAAGCACCGGTTTGCCGAAATTAACTTCCTATCTTGTTTGTTTTCTTAATGTGCGCTACGCGAGAGGTAATTGAAATCAAAGATCATTTTCGAATCTGCTACTCGATGATTCTATGGTCCCCTGAGCTATGATTCCAAAGCCGCAGGAAGACAATCAAGCTCTAGCTTGAAGCTGATTATACCCGTTACTCGTAGAGTAAAAGGGTATACTAGATTCGTCGGAAAGTATGTAACAGGTAGAAAGAAGCGATTCTGACCCCATAAAGCAAATTACATTCTTGACCAGGATCACTAGCCGAGTCGATCTAGCCATGTCCGTCTGTATGTCTGTCCGTATGAACGCTGAGATCTCGGAAAGTATTAGAGCTAGAATCTTGGTTTCAGTTTGTTTCAGCTGGAGGCCACGCAAGCTATAAAACTCGTCTAGCGCCCACATTTTTTAATATTTTGTACTAATTTAAATGAGATTTCTTATTGTCAATATCCATCTACAAGCCAAAAATTATTTAAATCGGACCATTCATTAAAAAGTTATAACCAAACAATAGATAATAATTAGCAAACTCAATAGAGTGCGAGAGGGATGAAGTTACACTATAGCTATGTGGCGTGTTAGTGAAATCTCTTAAGCAGCCGATGGGAATGAACGATAGGTGGCGCTGAGTAACAGGTATCTGATACTCCATGTCGTCGATTTCTGTTGTTTTAAACTATACTCGTGCCGGACTCTAACACGAATCATTGACATGCGAAGAGAAGTAAAATGTTCAGAATATTTTTCCATAGGAACCCGTAGAATGGCAGAAAAGAGAAGATATTTGAACTGTTGACGAAGGCTCGGAAATGAAACAGTATATTTTAGTACATTAATTGGGAACGCTTTATACAAATTTTGATTTTCCATAATGATGAAGATATACTAATGTAATATGAAGCATCTGTAGCGTAAGTGCTTAAATTTTTTTTAAATATTCGACAAATACAAAATTTGACAACTGAATAGTTATCCAATATAATAATATTGGTTCAATAAATCAAGCAATATACTACCAAAAATGAAGTTTTACTCTGTCCCTGCCTCACTGTGTATTCGTTGTGCGTTATTCCCTGGTTATTATCATCCCCAGCCAACCGTCTTCAAACCTCCTACACACATACATTTGTTCGTATGTTCATAGGCTAGTTTTCTTCAGTTTATTTGAGGCACCTATTAACGTTATACATACATGCTTAGGTATAAACGTATCCACAATTTCATACCTTCAAAAGCATTTGCATGCAGAAGCGATTTATTGGTTTAAGTGAGTATGAGTGCAGTGCATCACAATTGTTGCAGTTCATGCACACTAAAACACAAATGACGTGTGTTAGTGCTGTGTGTACTCATGTGCAATTGCACGCACACACAATATTTAAGTTGTCATCAGAGCCGGAGTTACCATTAAAAAGGTATAATGCAGTTGGGAAAACGCATTTCAGATAATTGTCCAGTCGAGCTGAGCTCGGTAATTACTTGGTTTACATTGTTAGTGTTCTATTTTACCTTTTGTTGTCATCGTAGTAATTTTTTGTTCTCCGACGAATCGCACGGAATGCGTGATAAGCAATAACCTGTGTTCGGGTACAGTTTTCAACAGAACTTCAGTTTCTCAAATTAATATATTTTTAAAAACGCGTTCCCCCAATTATTAGGTTTTTTATTTTCGACTAAAAGACGAATTTAAATTTGTAGCAAGAAACTGAACACACAAAATTGCGGCCAGCTCGGTAAGGTGCTCTGCCATACAAACCCAAAGATTTCAAAAGCGGTATGGATGGGATAAGGGTGGAAGGGTGAGGGAAGGTACAATCACCAAGTACAATACACAATCGGTATGTCTGTGATTGTGTTCACTTTTTTTTACTGAGAAATCGTCTTTTGTTCTCAGAGATCCAGCATAAAAAGTTGCGAATATAAAACAAAAGTGTCACTTGCCGAGGGTCTGGAGGTACCAGACGATGTCCGAGGTTGAGCTTGCATTGTTATTCCCTTTGTCGTTGGCTTGGTTTGTGTTGATTCGTTTTTAGGAGTATTTATTCATGTATGTGTATATATGTGGCCATTTGATTCCGCCGGAGCCCCACAATCATTCATTTCGGTAAGATCAATGAATCGATACGATATACCTGGGGAGACAGAGAACTGCGACAAAAAGAAATCCAGAAGGCGAAAGCTAAGCGGTATGAGTTCCCGGGATCGAGACGAGATCAAAAAGTTTCAGTTGATGAACTGTTTTCAAAATTTACGAAGGAGTACAGAAAGAAACCAATAAATTTACTTTTTAGCCTTCATTAAAATTGTCGCCGATTGTTTTCGCCGCATGAATATGTTAATTGCAAGATCATCAAACGTACATACATATATCTGTATGCATAGGAAAAAATCGGTCTTAGCAAGGTAACAACTGCCACTCAAAACGTTCCAAAAAGGATAGAGAAGTGTAGGGTAAAGTGACACAAATTTCACTGTACTCACTGGGCAATAGAAACAAATAACGATATATTGTCAACAAAAACAACAAAAATTAAATCATTATACCCTACATACAAAAAAAAGGATGGTAAATTTGACCAATAAGGTGTCCCCAACCATCGAATTGTCAATCTTACCCACCAATTAGTTACTCTTACGTAATACGAAGATGTTCTGGTAACTGTAAAAATAAAATATATTTACGTAAATTTTTTTACTGTAAATACATATATACCTACAAAATAGATCAAGTTGCCTTTTGAATTCGCACAAAGACTTTTAGCTAGTGATGAAATATATCGTTTTACGTTAGGATAACTATTTTAGATAGTAAATACTCTATATAGTATTGCAATAACAAAATACACACACCATATAAACGTAACTGTGTTAATAGTGGTTTAACTATTAAATAGTAAGTCATTTGAAAACAAATACATTTACGACCATTTTTAGTAGCAAAGTAAAATATTTTATAGTTACTAAACTACCTGCATTGGTCATTTTAACCAACCAAATTTTGTTGCGTGTACAATATGTTCGTCTCGATACCCTACAGGGTACGGAATACGATTGTACCACTTTCATGAGGCGCAAGTTCGTCACCTTGCCCTACACTCCTTTACCATTATCATTTCATAATTATATACATATTTCAAATTTATTTTTACCAAAAAGACATACTTAAGCATTTGCTTACAATTCAGAGTGTCAATTGTGTGGATGTCAATACTGGTAGTAATAATGCGCACAAAAGAAATAAATACAGCCTCAAAAATAGTAACTAAAATAATGTATAACTAAAAATTTAAAACTGGATTGCTTTTTACACTATACAAGAAAATTATTGGAGTAAATTGCGCACAATTGAGAAATCTATAAACAAATGGAGCACATTTGCATTTGATGTAAAACATTTTCATCTCAGAATGAGTACAAAGGGGGCACTCATTTAAAAAGTGATTTTTCGAGAATTGTACACTGCGCCACCTAGGGTTTAATTTTCATTTTAATGGATGTTCCGACTTAAACATTTTTAAAGCAAATATTAACAAAAACAAAATCCCAATAACCCGTTTTGCGACATGGACGTGGCACCCTTCTGAAATAAGCTTGATTGTAGACCGAAAGGTTCTGAAAACTTACTGAAATGGAGTATTTTCTGTCTTGAAAACGGGCGGGAACGCATCCTTCTGCCTGTTACATACTTTCCGAGGAATCTCAGTATACCCTTTTACTTTACGAGTAACGGGTATAACAAGGACCTAACAAAATACTATCCGAAATCAAGTATAGATCGCACTTAAATGTAGTTCATTCAATTCCATTAAGGGTGCGTTTTTTCTGAGTGCAACAACACGAAACTGTGCAAATCGTATTACTATATTTATACAGTGATACAACAAAAAGTCTAACGAACGGGCGACTATATCCTGTCCTATAGCTACCATGGGAACTGTAGGGTGAAATAGGTACAGACTTAATGTTTTTAAAGATATTTGCCTATATTTCGTTCCTCTTAAAACTATCAAGTCGACTCAAAGATTGGGTATCCTGATTTCGAGTTGAACAATATGACACTGTTATAAACCAAATGCCCGTTCCCAATTTGAATCCATGAATTTATAAATAACAATGACTAGCAGCACACAGGGTGTAAGCGGGGATTTCCACAGGGATAAGGATTTTGAGTCAAAGACCAAGTAAGGGAATCGGTGAAGAAGTAAAACAGCAATAATAAAACGAATTTATGCACTGCAAACAGACACACGCATATATACAATATCAAAAGGGGACAAAAACAAAGATGAAGAAAAATGTATTGTATTTTATTAAAGGAATTGTTTTCTCTGCCTCATTTTTCTCAGAACAAAGTGATGTATGAGCTCCATAGGCCAAACACAATACGGATTCTGTGAGTCGGGGCTGGTACGGGAGTCGGAATTGAATCGGGGACTGTGATTCGGGCTGGTTGGAACAGAAGGAAAGAGCGGAGGGTCGAGCTGCTAAGCCGTTAAATCGGGACGGCAGTGTTTGGGTAAGAACTATGTAACCATATGACTGTACAATACCAGCGCGAACTTGCAGACCAGCAGCAAAGCTCTTCAGCGTCAAAATTAAAAAGGGGGCAATATACACTGGTCGGCATAAGTATTTTGACAAAACCAAAGTTAGATATACTCATAATTTGAACTTACTTCTTGTAAACTTTGGCATCAATGGAAAGGTAATTTAAATGCCGTTTGAATGATACAATACATTTCTTAACCCATTCAGTACTTATTGAAATGGACGAAATTGTGTAAACATCCCGACCAGTGTAATAGAATCTGTCTCCGTAAGCGAAGCTTCTTTATCTTAAATTTCTCTCTAACTAGAAACACTTTTTCTTCCGCGATGGCTGTTTTCCATGACTACGCTGAAGATAACAATTGGAAATTCCAACGTATGCCACCAATGCGTTGATGCCGATTTTTAAAGTTATTCTTAATTCAGCAAAATGCAATTGATTTAAGGAAAGACATTGATAGGCAGGTCAAAACTTTGACAAGTCTAAACAAGGACGAACGCTATAGTCGAGTGTCACGACTATTAGACACCCGTTACTCACCTAAAGGGATCAAAAGCACTTAAACTTTAGAAGCCACAGTCTTTCTCGGTTTGTGGCCGTTAGAGGCACGTTACCGTGATCGCTAAGGTCAAAATCTTAAATCCCAACTTTCTAGCTTTGATAGTTTCCGACATATTACCGTTCATATGGACGATTTTTTTTAAATTTGTGGTCGTTAGTTCGGCCTTAGTGCGGGCATGGCAACATTTTTTTAAGGTCAATCAATAGATATTTCTATTTAAACTTTTTTGGCGGATTGTGGGCGTTAAAAATACTCGGCTAGTGATCTTGATCAAGAGTATACATTAGGGCGGGTCGACTTGTATTGGGCTGAAAAAATGACATATCGAATAGGGGATCGTAATCTTTGAAGAATTATAAGTTATATTGCCAAAAAATACTATAGTCTAAATGGCTAGACCTTCTTGATGTGCGGTAATAAAAAGAAGTTATTGTGTGCCAAGTCAGGGCTGTACGGCGGATGTCCCATCAATTCGACGTTTTGGCCGGTCAAACAAGCGCTGGTCTCAGCTGATTTGTGAGAGTCATCGTCATGGTGCACAATGATCCGTCTTTTCTTGTTCGTTTTTCGGATTTCTCCGAAGACTTCAGGCAAACAAATTGTGGTGTACCCCAAACAAACGACCATTTGCTTCGAAGTGTTTTTTCCACGAACAACTTTCGTTGTCCTTGCCAAGGACTTCTTGGCTCATCTTCATTTCTGTTTTGTTTCGGGCTCATAAGCATAGATCCATGATTGGTCACTTGTGACGATCTAAAAAACGTCTTTGGAAACTCCGCATTTATATTTTTCCAAAATTTCTTTCTTTCTCTATCTCAAGGTATGTCACTTGACGATCTTGCATTATCAGCTCACGCACGGCATCAATGTTCTCCGGCACAACGGCTGTTTTTTACCACCACCTTCGTCTTCGAGCCAGCTTCGGCCACGATTGAATTCATTAAACCAGTTTTTCACAGTGCTATAGGATGCTGCTTCATCGCCGTACAAAGATTTAAGTTCATCGAGTTCTTGTCGTGACAATCCACGTCGAAAGTTGCGAAAAATTATTGCACGAAAATGTTCACGAGGTAATTCTATTTTTCTTCCGAGGTAAGTTTTTGATTAATCGTTAATCGATATTAAACGGGGTCACACATGAATAAGTTGTATGGAGCTGTTATCGACAAAAGTCCAAAATTTGTTTAGGAAAGGGCCAATTGGTCCTAATGTGACAAGATGTGACCTAGGCCAGAAATTTAAATAGCAGCCCTCGCAACTAAACTTCCTCTAGCTGGAAGTCTTTTAGGTCGATTTCTTACTCGAAGCTCAGTTATATGTATTTTTGAGGAGTACAACTTACCAATTTATTCAGTCAATGGCATCCTACTCCTTAAAAGGTTAGGAGTCTTCTGAAAAGGAAAAGCAAATATTTTAGAGTGTAATTTTGTTTAGCACTTAACTAGAGACTAATATACACAAATGGATACCCAGTTTGTTCCACCTTGAAATTTCCTTATTTGGCAGGCTTAAGAAAATTATTAGAGCTTTTTGCCGACAAGGGCATTTTCTACTGCAGCGTGCCGAATATGAAAATTTAAGGAAGTGTATTTATTAAGTCGACTGTATAATAATTTTTGGTCACAAAATTTGATATCAGTATTATTGTAAGTTAAAGGTGCTATCGTCACCTCGTTAAGAAGTAATTTTGTTTGATATCACATGTTTAGATTCGTCGGAAAGTATGTAACAGGCAGAAGGAAGCGTTTCCGACCCCATAAAGTATATATATTCTTGATCAGGATCACTAGCCGAGTCGATCTAGCCATGTCCGTCTGTCCGTCTGTCCGTATGAACGCTGAAATCTCGGAAACTATGAGAGTTACAGTACTCGGATTAGGCACGCAGATTCCTGAGATTCCTGCGCAGCACAAGTTTGTTTCAGTAGAGTGCCACGCCCACTCTAACGCCCACAAACCGCCCAGTTTTGATGCTAGAATAAAAATTTTAACTGAAATGTATTGTTCTCGTCAATACCTATCGATTGACCAAAAAAAAAAAAATTTTCCACGCCCACTCTAACGCCCAAAACGCTTAAAACTGTATACCGCCGGTAGGTGGCGCATTTTAATCTCGCTTTGCTGCTTGCATATCTCCATTTAGCTGAGTAACGGGTATCTGATCAAAAGTTGAGGAATCTTAAGGGCTATACTGATTTTAGTTAAACCAGATATCTTTAGCATTCTTTTTGAGACATGTAAATAAACATTTAAAACTCGAAAAAAAAATGTTTGCACTCTGGTAATTAGATCAATCACGTAAGGAGAG